ACCCCCCACCCTGAGCACCAGGTTGGCAGCGGGCCAAGCGGGGTCGGCAGCTGGGGCAAGAGGCCGGCAGCCAGAACCCCAGACTGGCAGCGGGCTGAGCGGGGCCGGCAGCTGGGACCCTGGCTGGCAGGAGCCAGCGGACGGAACCCCAGACCGGCAGTGGGCTGAGCCGCTCGGCCCGCTGCTAGTCTGGAGTGCCAGCCCCGCTCAGCCCACCACCGGTCTGGGATCCCAGCGCCCGGCCCCGCTCAGCCTGCTGCCAACCTGGGATTCTGGCTACCAGCCCCTTGCCAGCCGGGGTTCCGGCCGCAGGCCCCGCTCAGCCTGCTGCCAGCCTAGGTGAACGGAACCCCAGGCCGGCAGCGGGCTGAGCAGGCTGGCGGCTTAAGATCAGCATTTTAATTTAATTTTAAGTGAAGCTTCTTAAACGTTTTGAAAACCTTGTTTACTTTACATACAACAGTAGTTTAGTTATATTATATATAGACCTATAGAGGGAGACCTTCTAAAAAATGTTAAAATGTATTAGCGGCACGTGAAACCTTAAATTAAAGTGAATCAATGAAGACTCGTCACACCACTTCTGAAAGGTTGCCGACCCCTGGTGTATATAATGGGCCAGATTATGGTCTCAATTACACTGGCACAAATCCAGAGTAATTTCAATATCTGTGGAATTGGCTGGTATCACTGAGATCAGAAAGCTGGCCCAGTGTCTTAACACTTCATGAGAAGTGACTTCTTGAGAATTCTCTGAATAGCCTGGTTGAAAGGGATTTCCAAAGAGCAAACATCATGTACATTATTAACAGAAACAGTGCACGTAACAAGGTGCTGGGTTCCATCATTATTCTGAGATTCTGTACGAAAAATGTAAGGACTTCCCACCATTACAGAGGAGTTGGACAAGGGTGACAGTACACATCTACTGCACAGTGAGGAAGAAAGAATAGTCATGAAGAACACTCTGGTGATGTTAAAGGAAAGCCTGTTTATGTGGTTGACATTTCCAAAATTTCAGTAAATCTGGAACAGTAAATTCAACAGGACCCAATTCAAACCCCATTGAAATCAATGGCAAAGCTCTTACTGACTACAGTGGGCTTTGAAGCAGTAATTCTGTGTGATAATACGCCCCTTGCAATGCTGGTAAGTGGTAAGTGAAAAATGGGGTGATCAGCTAAGTGCAGGTTATAAAATTTGAGGAAGATGCAAACTCAGTGGGATTCAAATGGGTGTGCAACAGAACCAATTTTTTATTCAAAGTAGCAATTCATGGTAAAGCCAAATAAAGTTGTATTATAAACAGTAGGGCTTTGCAATTTGTATTAGCCCAAGTGTTATTGGTGGTAATACATTGTGCTATTTCTAAAGGCTTTTCTGTTGTTTTGAGGTAGCTGAGAATGCCGAAAGCAGCGCTGATGAAGAGACACGAGCAACATAAATTTGGGGTTCAAAGTTTCCCCTTTCATAACTGGAGCTTTAATTTATTTACTTCTTATCCAAAATAAAAGTACAAAATCTTTATCTGGAGTCACAGAACTGTGTTCTTTAAAGGTCATCACCCCATTAGCATAAACATATCCAGCAGACCAAATGAGATTTACTGCTGCTTTACCAGATTTTTCCTCTGGTACTTCCATGTACAAGGCCTTGTCGGTCTTTCTTCAAAATTTCAGATGTGTTTAGCATAAGATTGTTCTTCCTTTGAGCCTGAATATCCTCTACAACCCATCATGGTGGTGTCTATCTCTCTCTTTGCAAAAACTAAAACTCTTTGAACAGTCTGCTAAATTAATGTTGTCATACTCATGCTATCATCAGGTAAAGTAACGTTTGAAACGCACCCACCAGGAGTTCCAGGAAACCCCGGATGTGTGGGACCTCCAGGACTTCCAGGAGATAGTGGAGTGAAAGGTCAGCAATCGTGTGTGTGTGTGTGTGTGTGTGTGTGTGTGTGTGTGTGTGTGTGTGTGTGTGTGTG